GCGGTGGAACACTGGCCCATCAGAGTTGGCCCAGGTGCTCCCTCGGTTGGGCCTGGGGCCCTGGGGGGGTGGCCAGGGTGTTCCCGGCGCACTGGTCCTGGGGCACTTCCGAGCCCGTCTGTCACTGGGCTCAGCCGTCGTGGTCGGATTGTCCAGTGGGCTGGCGCTGCGGCGGTCGCTGGACCGAGGACCGCCTGCGCACGGCTCTGCTGCCTCCTTGCTCGGAGAGGGCTGGGCCTCCTGCGGCGGATGAGTGGACGCGTGCGCCGCCTTCGTTGGGTCAGCGTCGCCGGCCGTCGCCTGCGCGGGGTCGGTGGGGTGGGGCTTCGTGCCGCGGTGTGTCCGGCGGTCATGGTCTGGGGCGTCCGCGTCTTGTGGGCTGCCGTCGCATTGTTCTGGCGAAGAGTCAATCTCCATGTCGGCGCTTCCCACGATTGCTTTCGGGTCTGGAGTCGGCAGGGCAGCAGCAAGGGCTTCCTGGGGTGGGGGGGGCTTTGGAAGTGTCCCTTCGAGCTGTGCGGGCTCGGCAGGCTGTGTTTCCAGCCACGCGATGGATGCAACGTCCGCTATATTGTCACCTCCCTCTGTGTTGGAGTTCTCCTGGCTACCTCTGCCTGGGGTCGGGCTTGGGCCGCGTAGGCGCTTCACACTGGCGACCGACGGTGCTCGGGCTGGGTTTGGTCCACCAGCCTGGGCAGCTGGAGCCCTTGGTGGAGGCGCTCGGGCCCGCAGCGGCCAGGACCGCCACATCAGACTGGTAGCTATCCAGTTCTGGAGACGTCAGGTCACGCACCCCCTGTGTGGCCAGGAACTTCGCGAAGTGTTGCTGACTGCACCGACTGGGGTTTCTGCCCAGATGCGAGAGCAGCTTGGAGAAGTCGGAGCTCAGGAACGAGAGCCACTGCGGAAGAAGATTGTCCTTTCGCTCGCTTTTGTGCCCCTTTTGCCGGGTGAGGAAGGCATCCAGGTGTGCCAGGGCGGGCGGCGCGCCGTCCCTCCCAAGGGAAGGTCTCGGGCACTTCCATCTCCTGGGGTCGTCGGGCCGTGGATGTTCCTCGGGAAGGCCTTGCAGTCCCCTGCTGTCCAGGCTCGTGGGTCCAGAGAGACCTGCAGTGAAGCAGAGCGGGCAACCAGGGTGAACGTAGGGATCTCTGGACGCAAGGGGGTGGCCCTCGAGGGCCTCCTCGGGCCATCCCTGGGGCCTGCGTGGGGGCGCGGAATGGAGGAGGAGGAGGAGGAGGAGGAGGAGGAGGAGGAGGAGGAGGAGGAGGAGGAGGAGGAGGAGGACCAGTGCAAATCGAAGACTCAGCAACGACGTTGGAATAAACCCTCCCTCCAAGCTTCCTCTTCAAGTGCCCCGTACAAGGGTTCATCTCCACAGGGAAGTGCCCCGTTGGGGGACAACTGTGAGAAAGTCTTGAGGCGTACGAGAAAGCGTTCTCAGGATTTCAACGCCACAAGTAACCAGACTGCTGCGTCTTGACGGTCCTGAGTCGTGCCAGAAAACCATTCTTGGGCCTTCAACACCGCGAGTCAACGTAACGGTTGCACCCTGGCACTCCTTAAATCGTTCCAAAGCGCCAGTCTTGTTTCGTTAGCCATGAGAACCAATGAAACGCTTGCAAATTGTTACAGCGAATGTGGCGCTAAGGCGAGGGCCACGTTTTGAAAACGGTCCGCCCTCAATCCGTAACCCTTTCATTTTTTTACAGCGGGTGTGCTTGGCGCTAAGGCGAGAGCCACATTTTCGAAACCATCCGCCCTCAAACCGTGAAGTTCCCGCAAATGTTGACGACGATTGTGTGCAGCGCTAAGGCCAGGGCCACATTTCGAAAACCACCCGCCCGCATTCCGTGAAACGCTTGCAACTGTTTTAGGCAAGTGTGCGCAGCGCTTAGACGAGAGCCGCGTTTTGGAAGCGACCCGCCCTCAATCTGTAAAGCCGTCGCCAGTTTTCAAGCTTCAGGCCCAAATATGGTAAGGAAGTCTTAAGCGAAAGGCCCGGCCCGCCCTTCCGATTCGCCCCGGGGTGCGACAGGGAGGAATTAGTCATAAGGAAAAGGAAAGGAGGATGAGGAGGAGGATGAGGAGGATGAGGAGGAGGACCAGCAGGAAGAGGAGGAGGAGGAGCAGGAGGAGGAAGGGGGCGAGGAAGACGACGACGACGACGACGACGACGACGACGACGACGACGACGACCACAACCACGAGGAAGAGGAGGAACAGGAAAAGGAAGATGAGGGCAAGGGACGTGTACGAGCAGGAAAAAGAGGAGGGCCAGTGCAAACCCACGCCTCATCAACGATGTTGTAATAAACCCTCCCTCCAAGCGCCCTGCTCATAGGCCCCATATAAGGGTTCCTTTCCACTGAGGGAACTGCATCGTTGGAAGACAACCGTTTGAAGACCCTGAGGCGTGCCACAATACCATTCTCTGGACTCCAACGTCATGAGTCAACCTGACTGTTGCACCTTGACGATCTTGAATCGTGCCAGGCAACCATTCCCAGGCCTGCAACACCGCGAATCAACGTAACTTTTGCGCCCTCACAGGGTTGAGTCGTTCCAAAACACGATATCTTGCTTCAATCGGTTGAACGTTTGCAATTTTATCAGACGAGTGTTCGTGAAGCTGAGGCGAGAGCCACAGTTTGAAAACCACCCGTCCTCAAACCGTGAATCTCTGGCAACATTTGAAGACGAGTGTGCGCAGCGCTCAGGCGAGAACCACATCTTGAAAACCACCCGCCCTCAACCCGTGGAGCTCTTGCAGTTCTTCAAAATCAAATTTGCGTGGCGCTGAGGCGAGAGCCACATTTTGAAAACCACCTGCCCTCCATGTGTGAAACAGTTGTAAGTTGTTAGGCTTCAGGTTCATACGCCGTGAGGAAGTCTCAGCCGAGTCGCCCAGCCAGCCGTTCCGAGTGGCCTTTGGGTGCGACTGGGAGGAGGTATTCACAAGGACGGAGCCCCCAAGATCGCATCTTAGATCCCTCCAGTGTTTTTTTTGGGGGGGGGAAGTCGGGTGCTCTTGTGGCTCCTCAGGGGGGGTCTGGGGGCCCTCTTGTGGCCCTCTTGGGGGTCCTCTTTGGGAGCACTCCTTGGGGGTTCCCTTGGGAGCCCTGGAGGGCCTCTTGTGGCCCTCTTGGGGAGCCCTCTTGGGGGTTCCCTTGGGAGCCCTGGAAGGCCTCTTTGGGGCCATCTTGGAGGCCATCGATCGAAGGCGGGGGGGGGTCTTAGCGTTCGCCCTTCCCCCGCCTCCCCCCGCCCTCCTCGGGGCGCCCGGGGCCGCCCTCGGGCGGCTCCTGGCTGGCCCTGCGGGTTCCCGGGGGACTGCGGGCGGATGCCTGCAGGATGCCCGGAGGATGCCTCAAACTTCTCGGAGGATCCCTCAGGAATGCTGAGGATGCCTCAGAATTCTCTGAGGATTTCCTGGATGCCTCAAGAATTTAGAAATTTAGAGGATGCCTCAAAGTCCTCTGAGGATCCCTCAGGACTCCCTCAGGATCCCTCAGAAATCCCCAGGATGCCTGAGGATCCCTCCAGATTCCCGAGGATTCCCGGGGGGCTCCCGAGGATTCCGATGGACTCCGTGTGACTCCTTTGAGATTCCAGAGGGCCCCTCAGGAATTCCAAAGGATTCTGGGGGGGATTCCTGTGGGTCTTGTTGGGGGGGGCCTCTGGGTCCGTATTGGGGACGTCTTGGAGGCTCCAGGAGCCGTCGGGAGCCCGAAACGGTGGAAACGCGAAAATCGTTGGAAACAAATGAGAGGTTATGATTTTGGCTTCTTCGGGCCGTCCTAAAAGACCTCTTGGAGAAAGGCCTCTTGGAGCCGTCTTGGGGGCCTCTTGAATGATCTGAATATTGGAGTACCTTGCGCCTATATGGGCCCCCTTGGAGTATTCATAGTTCTCATATCATAGGGCAGTGTGGTAGAGACCCAAACGGCTCACGATGAAAACCGAGTGAGTTCCCATAGCGCACATCATTCGGTTTCCACTGCCCAGATGATCATGCAACAACAAGTCTCAACTTTAAGCCGAACTTTTTCCGCACGTTTGGAATGAACCGTTTTGGTTTTCTGACCCGTTGGGATCTGACCCAGTCTGCTGGCATCTGACCTGTCCCGTTGGGATCTGACCCCGTCGCGTTTTGGGGCTCTCTTAGCCAGTCTGGGACCCTTTTGGGAGCTTCCTGAGCCCGAGATTGCAATCATTTTGAACTGCCGAAAGAGATACATGGAAATACCTGATTTTGGCTTCTCGGGGCGCTTTTCGGGGACCTCTCGGAGCCCTCTTGAGGCGTCTCGTGGGTCGTCCGTAAGCCATACAGCGCGTCTTGGAGCGATCTTCGGGCGACTCGGGGCCCCCTTGTTCATTATTGGAGTCTCTCGGGACCCCTTTGGCCCGTCTTGGGACGCTCTTAGCACCGCTTTGACTTTCCTACAGCTCGCCTATCGCTCGCCAGAACATTCGGGGAGCCCCGAGCAGTTCCCCGGGATTTTTGTTGGCACAGGGAGGGCCGGTCTCTGAGAGTCCTACAAATGGCAAAAGGACGAGACCTTCCCTCTACGACGCACAGCCGTATGAGCCTTGGGTTACTCCACTACGTGCTGAAGGCGCGGTTGCGGATTCCAATGCGGCACCCTCGTACGCGATCCCGACATCGGAATTCCGAGTTCATCCCGCGATTTTCCAAGTGCGACCTTCTCGCGGGCCTAGGACATCTGAGCGCCTGGAATGGTCATGTGGTATGTCGTGAGATTGCCAGAGCTCGCGCCTTGATCCTCATTTCCACAGCCTCTCCGACAGTGCACGATGCCTCTTGGGGTCCTCACCACAGGCTTCGCTGGGCAGGCTTCCCGCGGATACGCGCCACTCGAAGGGGGCCCCCGGCACCTCTCCAACATGGCCGATCCCTTGAGGGGCATGCTTCTCCTTCGCCCTGCCCTTCGCCCTCCCCGCCCCCGGCTCCCCCCCCCGGCGGCCGACGCTGCCAGGAAGGAGGCCGACCCGGACGACGCGGGGCGGAGTCCGCTGGCCTCCATGGCGCGCCGCAGCCGTCTTCGCGCCCGCTTGGGCGGGTGGATGCGGGTGGCTCCTTCCTGAGACTCTCGCTGCTCGTCCTGCTCTGGGCCCGCTGCCGCTGCCGCTGCTGGTTGCGCCGATGGTGACCCTGCGCCTGCTTCTGCTTTCGCCGCCGCTGCAGCTGTCTTGTCACCGTTGTCGCCGGCCCCCTGGCTGGCGTTTTGGTGGCGCTGCTGGCTGCGCCTCCAGGCGGGGGGGGATCTGCTCGGGAAGGAGGCAATTCCCCAGCATCCCCCCATGGATCGCCGACAGGCCGCCAGATGGTCTGCCGTCGGCGTATTTCAGATGAGGAGGAGGAGGAGGAGGAGGAGGAGGAGGAGGAGGATGAGGAGGAGGTTGTGCTCCGCCCTGCCGGCCACCTCCTGCGCCTCCCGCTGCGTTTGCTCCTCGTGGCCCTGGGTCCGGCTCCTGCTGCCGCTGCGTTGCTATATTTCTTGGTGCCCGCCGCCATTGGGGAAACGGACATAGAATCGGACGGATAAACATCTGGAAGTCTCCGAGAATCGGCGGGATTGGAGGATGTATCTGCCGCCGCGGCCGTTTCAGAGCGTTCTGGAACGCTCTGAGAGCGTTCTGGAACGCTCTGGAACGGTCACCATGGGGGCAACGGGTCCTGAGGGAAACGGGTCCTGAGGCTTTTCTTTGTTTTTAGTTTCCTGGGGCCCTCTACGGGCCTCGGGACTGTCAGAAACCGATTCAGTATGAAGAAGTGGTCCTGGGGGAAGGCCCCAGGGTCCAGGACCCGTTTCCCTCAGCCCCTATGCTAATGCTCGTCATCCTTTGTCGAAGCACGGTGGTTCTAAGCCCATCTGAGCAACCGAACAGACGTCAACCAACACAGGCGGCCTCATTCCCAGGGCCGCGACACAGGTATGATGTGAGGGATTCTCGCTCCCAGGGGAACACCAGCAGAGGACCCGCCTCATCAGTTGTTCGCTCGTGAAAAGTTCATCTCTGTGATATCTACTCACTGCTCTCTGCTTTGCTTTGTGCCTATGCTGCGAAGGCCTTACGGCCGGTGCCGCCGACCCTGACGGGGAACGACGACAACGGCGGCGGCGACGACGATGCTGACGTGCGTCAGCGTCCTCATGGATGCTTCTTGGGCTCTCTGCGAAGCGCTCTCGGGGGCTTCTGGGTGACAGTTTAGGGGCCTCTTGGGAGCCTCGTGGGGGCCTCTTGGGGGCCTCTCGGGGCTTCCTGGGGGCCTCTTGGGGGCCTCTTAGGGCCTCTTGGGAGCTTCCTGGGGGCCTCTTGGTTCCTCCTGGGAGCCTCTCGGGGCAAAAGGCTCGAGATGTCCGTTCTGGTCTCTCGTCTGTGCACTCTCTTGGAGCCGTCTTGGGGGCCTGGGCCGTCTTGGAGGCGTCTTGGTCCGTCTTGGCGCCCTTTGGGCGATCTGGCGGCCCTCTTGGGCCGTCTTGGAGCGTCAAGAAGCGGAAGGGGCGAGAACGCCGAAATGCTTCAAAAACCGATGGAAAATCAGTGATGGTTTCACTCGGGGCCCTCGGGGAAGTGCTCCTGGAGGCTCCTTGGGGCGTTGTGCAGGGCTCTTGGGCCGTCTGGAGGCCGTCAAGGCGTCTTGGACAGATCGTCGTTCGGCGATTCAGGGCCCTCTTGGACCGTCTTGGGGGCCTCTTGGGGCACTCTTGGCCCGTCTTGGGGCTTTTATGGGCCCGGGGACCCCTGGGGGGGGGAGTCGCGTTCGACCAGGGCCCCCCCCACGGGACCCCCTCGGGGGGGAGTCGTATCGGACCCGGACCCCCCTTCCGGGCGGGGGAGGGATCAACCTGTCTGCGCTCTGAAGAAGCGAAGAATAGGAAGGGGTCTGACATCTGAAGAATAGCGAAGAATAGAATAGGGAGGGATCAAAGAAGCCTGTCTGCGCTCTGAAGATGCGGTTTACCAGGGGCATCTCTTCGAGTCAATTACGAAGCCGCTCAGTTTCGTCTTGCTCGCGCGCTCGAGGAGGAGGGAGCCTGTGGAAGACGGGGGGGGGGGAGCGGCGACGGGCCCTGCGCTTGAGGAGGAGGAGGAGGCAGGGAAAGGGGGGGCGAGCGGCGACGGGCCCAGGAAAATCGGGGGCGGAAAAGAGGGGGGTGATGACTAGGGGGGGGTGGATATCATGGCGTGGGCCATGATATTTCCGCAGATTTCATGGCGCCTCTTCTTATTTCATTACGTCCCTGGCCCCCCCGCTGGGCCGCGCACATGCCGCCGGTCATGATTTGCACCCCCCCCCTCTTGGACACCCCCCTCTTTGCCGCTCCCGAGAAAGGGTGAGCGCAGGGAAAGGGGCCGACCAGAGACCGCGACCGACGACTGCCGGGGACGACGACCCGAACGGACGAGCCCCTCACACACGCCGACAGGGTCGGCGGATTCTCTCCTCTCGCTTCCCTTGACCCGCTACGCTTATGTCGGGCGTGTCCCCCTACAGGGGGATTTTCGACGAAAAATGAAGAATACCCCCAAAATACTCCAGAAAGGCCCCAAAATAGTCGAAAAATAGTCGCCAGACTATTTTTGGACTATTTTTTTATTATTTTTGGTGTATCTTTTACTTTTCGTCGAAAATCCTCCTGCAGGGGGGTATTTTGGACTATTGGGGTATTTTTCAATTTTTTCGTCGACAACCCCCTGTAGGGGGACAGGCCCGCCTTAACGCTACGCCTCCTCCTGCAGCGTTCCCCAGTGCGCTCGACTGCCGATCTGCATACCCTCCGGCCTCCGCGCTCGGCCCTCGCCCGTCCGCCCGGCGCCTCCACGCTCGAGACTCGCCACGCTATGTTCAAGAGGGAAAGAAACACACAGACACAATTAATCGTCGATTCCCCCCAAAATATGGGAAAGTATGGGAAGTGGGGGGGAAGACAGAAACCCAGAAAATATGGGAATAATATGGGGAACCCTTTTATTGTGTGTATTTATTTGTGTCTCCTTGGGCCCCTTCATATGTGCCCCCCTGCTCCCTGCGCTCCTCCCTCTGCCGCCTGCTCCATGCTGATATGACTAAGTCAGGCCTGTCACCCATACAGGGGGATGTTCGACGAAAAGTAAAAAGTACACCACAAATATTCAAAACTAGTCCAAAAACAGCCTGGGGACTATTTCCCAACCATCCTGTGGTGTTGGGTCCTCGTTTTGAAGAGACGGTGCCCCGCGTTCCTCTCCTCTCCTCTCCTCTCCTCTCCTCTCCTCTCCTCTCTCCTCTCCTCTCCTCTCCTCTCCTCTCTCCTCTCCTCTTCACCCACCCAGTACACCGTTTCGTGGCTCCATAGGGAGCTCCACCGAAGGCCCCAGTGCCCGCGCCCGCATGCGTCACCCACACCCATTTCGGCACACCCCTCACACGTTTCGTGGCTCCATAGGGAGCTCCACCGAAGGCCCCAGTGCCCGCGCCCGCATGCGTCACCCACACCCATTTCGGCACACCCCTCACACGTTTCGTGGCTCCATAGGGAGCTCCACCGAAGGCCCCAGTGCCCGCGCCCGCATGCGTCACCCACACCCATTTCGGCACACCCCTCACACGTTTCGTGGCTCCATAGGGAGCTCCACCGAAGGCCCCAGTGCCCGCGCCCGCATGCGTCACCCACACCCATTTCGGCACACCCCTCACACGTTTCGTGGCTCCATAGGGAGCTCCACCGAAGGCCCCAGTGCTGCCGCCCGCATGCGTCACCCACACCCAATTCGGCACACCCCTCATCCCTCACACGTTTCGTGGCCCCATAGGGAGCTCCGCCGAAGGCCCCAGTGCTGCCGCCCGCATTCGTCCCGCACACCCATTTCGGCACACCCCTTACACGTTTCGTGGCCCCGTAGGGAACTCTACCGAAGGCCTCAGTGCTGCCGCCCGCTTGCGTCACGCACACCCATTTCGGCACACCCCTCACACGTTTCGTGGTTCCATAGGGAGCTCCACCGAAGGCCCCAGTGCCCGCGCCCGCATGCGTCACCCACGCCCATTTCGGCACACCCCTTACACGTTTCGTGGCCCCGTAGGGAACTCTACCGAAGGCCTCAGTGCTGCTGCCGCCCGCTTGCGTCACGCACACCCAATTCGGCACACCCCTCACACGTTTCGTGGCCCCATTGGAGCTCCGCCGAAGGCCCCAGTGCTGCCGCCCGCATGTCGGCACATCCCTCACACGCTTCGTGGCCCCATAAGAGTTCCGCCGAAGGCCCCAGTGCTGCCGCCCGCATGCGTCACGCACACACAATTCGGCACACCCCTCACACGTTTCGTGGCCCCAAAGGGAGCTCCGCTGAAGGCCCCAGTGCTGCCGCCCGCATGCGTCACCCACACCCATTTCGGCACACCCCTTACACGTTTCGTGGCCCCGTAGGGAACTCTACCGAAGGCCTCAGTGCTGCCGCCCGCATGCGTCACGCACACCCAATTGGGCACACTTCTCACACGTTTCGTGGCCCCATAGGGAGCTCCGCCGAAGGCCCCAGTGCTGCCGCCCGCATGCGTCACGCACACCCAATTGGGCACACTTCTCACACGCTTCGTGGCCCCATAGGGAGCTCCGCCGAAGGCCCCAGTGCTGCCGCCCGCATGCGTCACGCACACCCAATTCGGCACACCCCTCACACGTTTCGTGGCCCCATAGGGAGCTCCGCCGAAGGCCCCAGTGCTGCCGCCCGCATGCGTCACGCACACCCAATTCGGCACACCCCTCACACGTTTCGTGGCCCCATTCCGCCGAAGGCCCCAGTGCTGCCGCCCGCACCCCTCACACGCACACCCAATTCGGCACACCCCTCACACGTTTCGTGGCCCCATAGGGAGCTCCGCCGAAGGCCCCAGTGCTGCCGCCCGCATGCGTCCCGCACACACATTTCGGCACACCCCTTACACGTTTCGTGGCCACGTAGGGAACTCTACCGAAGGCCTCAGTGCTGCCGCCCGCTTGCGTCACGCACACCTAATTTGGTACACTTCTCACACGTTT